AGAGAGTGTGTGTGTGTTTGAAATACAAGGAAATTATGTCTAGGACAGCAGGGGGTAGGAATGCAGAGCAGAGAAGGGGTGAAGTGTTTGGAATGACATAGGTGGGTGTTTTTGGCACACAGTCATCAATGCTTGGGCACAAAGCCTTCATCTCTTTTCCACCAGCTTGCCTCACTTTGCCAAAAGGTGTGAGAGCGACTGTTTATTACAACTTCTTGGTTTCCTGCCAGTTTGCCTTATCCATCCTTCCTTTCATGTGGCCTTGCTAGGAGCAAGGGAGTGGCCGGGCACACTGCTTCACTTCCATCCATGTGACTCCCTTTATCACCAATATCCAAATTTACCCCCTTTTCTCCTTTTTTTCCCCCCCCCCTCACGGTTTGCAGGTTACCTTCCAGTGAACATGTTATGTACGAGTTGGACTTGTCTTAGCTTGTCACACAGAAATTTGTGTATATTCATCTGCATTTTTGTTTTATACCACACCTGGAAAGCACTGACACTGAAACAGATCTTCTTCCAAATCTTTGGCACGCAAGTGTCAGTGAATCAAATGCACACTATTGAAGATTATTTTTTATCGTGTTATTGTCTCCAGGCACGCTGCCCCACTCTTTTGCATACTGGGTGGGAAAACCCAGGTTTGCAACATCAATTTCCTCTTGAAAACCACTTAAGCCATTTCCAGAGCTTATCAGAACTCCTAATACTCCATAAGTGCACTGTTTCTGGCTTTGAAAACACTTCTTGGTGTATCCATAACCGCCTGACTCACGCCAGGAGTAAATATAAATTTCCTTTGCTGACTTTCGAAGCACACAGGCCACATTCAGGCCGCTGTGTCAGGCTAGTTCTGACTTGCAGGGTTACACATTAATGCCTCAGCAGAATGGCAGAAAGATTTTTACAATTTTCTTTTCAAGGAGCCAAACCTTCTTGTAATTTTTTTTATTTTTTTTTAAAGGCAGTCTTAAGCAGATAACTTGCATTGCATGTCTAGGCATTTTGTTACTACTAGCCTGTCACAAAAGGTGATTCCCAAAGAGCTATTGGCTGAACACTCGGAACATCTTTGCACAGCGTGCAGTGTATCCTCACAATTTGACTGGACAAGTGGGGGAGAAAAGAAGAGGTATCAGGCCGAAAAGACTGTCTACAGTAGATGAACAGTAACTGAAAGTCATGTCCTTATGAAATACAAAACAGCTTAGCAAAGACCTGGCGCAGGACCTGAGAGATGCACCTAGCTCTTCAGCTGATCCACGTGCCATTTGTCAAAGCCTCCTCTGAAATGTTCTCAATGGAAAATTATGCAAGAACTTGACTTAAAATTAGTGACAACAGGTCTCATGAAGTGATGAGTCTGAATTTGTATTTTTTGGTAAAACTGTCAGTATTGTATTAAAGGTAATTGGGGAAAGGGGCACAACTCGGCCATTTGTGTGTTTTACAGATGGCCAAGTGTCTACAGCCATCTGCAAATCATGGTAGAGGCTCTGTTATGGTTCGGGGCCGCATATCAACCAGTGGTGTCGGAGATGTTGTCAAAGTCAATAGAATTATGAATGAAGAAAAGTAACAGCAGATTTTGATCCACTGTACCACAATACCTATGCTTTGTAGAAAGTGTCCAGTTGGCCTATTACAGCTTAACAATGATCCTAAACACACTGTCAATGCAGTAAAAGTATACCTGGATTAAAATACACACAGTCTCCTGAATCCTAACTGGAAGCTGGTTCCACAGAAGACGGGCCTGAAAGCTGAAGGCTCTGCCTCCCATTCTACTTTCAAATACTCAGGAACCACAAAGAAGCCTGCAGTCTGAGAGTGAAGTGCTTTAATGGGGTGATACCATGTCAGTGAGATAATATGGGGCCTGATTATTCAAGACCTTGCCATTGCTTCTATGGTGCGTCTGTTATTTTAACCTTTTACTTGTTTACTTAGTCCAGTTCCAGTAAAGACTTACTAAGTGAAAATTCCACTATAATGTGACAGCCTTTAGTAAATGATCCCAAGCAAATTCCTTTTGCATTAGGAGGAAGTCCCGGTTGCCTCATTGTCAGTGGTCCTCTGTAAAGGCCAAATTGCAGTTGAAAGTAATGTAATGACTTGCTGAAAACAGACCTCCACTTATACTACTTTCCAGTTTCTCCTTCTTCTATTTCTATCTCTCTCTCTGATTGATATTCTTTCAAAAAAAACCTCACTTTTGTTACAAAGTCTGACACGTTTGTCTTGTGTTTCTCTTTTTCTTCCCCAAGAGAAAGAAGGAGAACTTCACCGAGGATGTGACTGACCGTCGTCTGGTGTCTGTCCCTCCTCCTTCTTCCCAGCTGGATACCAGAGACAAACTCTGGCGCATCCACTCGGCGTTGCTACAATGCCAAAAGTTGCTAGAGAAAGCTGTTGCCAAAGAGGAGAAGGAGCTGGGTGGTGGGAAGAAGGGCGAGTATGAGAACAAGAGGAAGCTGGTGAAAGAAAGGTTGCCGCTGCTCATACTTAGCACTGGAGAACTCCTCAAAGCTGCTGAAGGCACGACTTCCCTGACTCCTAGTGTGGAGGGCTTGGAGGTAGGTCCTGAGGTGGTAAAGGTGAAAGTGTTGGACTGAAACTAAAGCATGGTTTACGGTTGTCTCCTCTTGTCATTGGCAGGTAGATGTCCCAACTGGTCTGCTTGACCTGAAGCTTTGGGTGTACCAGGTCTACAAAGAGGTCAACTACTGGAGCAAGACGGCTGCCAACACCTTGAAAGACCTGCCCTCGGTCATCGTCAAGGAAGGAGCAAGGACCACGCGGGCCAGGAACAGGAGAAGCACTCGGAGATGAGATGGAGATGTGGGAAGGGTTGATGAGGAAGGAAAAAGATTAGGGAGATAAATGGCGGAGATTGGTGAAGGTATTGAGAAGGTAGTTGCAGAGCAAGGGGTCCGGTCAACGTCAGGAACAAAGTAAAAGACGGGGAACAGAAATGGAAACAGCCAGCTGCAAGAGACCGATTACTACTGACAGGGAGATGAGAAAACTTGGTTACTGTTCATTCATATATGTATATGAATGAGAGAGAGGAAAACACCATGCTGTGACATTTATGGCAGAGTGTAGCACATCTCTATTCTTTCTTTCTTTCTTTCTTTCTTTCTTTCTTTCTTTCTTTCTTTCTTTCTTTCTTAGTTTAGGCTTACATGTCTCCTTTGATACAACTGAAACGATTTCCTTTGGATGCCCTGCAGCACACGAAACATGTGATCAGCAATGGGCACATTTAATTTATATTAGCTGTAAACACTGGGGCTATCATAACATGCAGATCATTTCTTGGAGATGTTGAGTGCATGAAAGAAAAAATATGTTAGCAGCACCCTCTAGTGTTTACATAGTGCAACTGCTTGGAGTCCTCCTTTTCTTTCTTAATTTCCTCTGATGTTAAGTATCTTAATTTAATATTACATTTGTGGGTTGTTGTTTTTTTTTTTTTAGCACTTAATTAGCAATGAAATAAATCAGTCTAACCTCATCAATGACTCGGGCTCTAAAGCAGGAGTATAGCATAAATGTTCTATACTCTTAAAAGCCAAAAGTTTGCAAACTCGTGCTATAAAAAGAAACAAGGCCTTAAAACCTTAATACAGATAATTTGAGGTGCAACTTTTATTTGTTTTAATGCAGAAGTAGCTGTTTTACATGATCTACATGCATCAGTTGTTCTTTACAACAGGCACATGGCTCTTTATGACTGTGTCTGCAGTCACATACACAGTAACTGGTTAAATTGATCACGTATCAGATAGTATCAGAGTCAGAAGCGATGCCCAAATCCTACCTTACCTGTCTGCCTAACCTGGATGAGGCTGCTAATTAAATTAGCCGAAGACTCAGATTGTCTTTAAAGATGTATGAAGGCTCGGGGTAAGAAACAGAGAAGATAAAGTAAATGGGATCCTTTATAGGGAAGTCTTGCCTAGATAGGCACTTATCCATAATGATGTGGAGGATAAATTAGACAGAAAGGCTGATGGAAGAGTTTTAGCAGGTATTTTACAAAAGCACTCTTTTTATTCTAACGACAAGGGCACCATTTATATTTCAACTTTTTATAAAGGTTTTCTTCGCTTGGCTCTGTGCTTGCTGTGTTTAGCATCTGTGAGCTGGTTAACTGACAGTAAACAAGACCGTGTGATGTTCGGGGCACCTCGACTGTTCACGGGCTTTTTTTCCAACTACATTTTTGCACCGGAAGGAGACCTAAATGCATTTGGTCATTTGAAATCTGATTAATTTCGGAGATGAAATGTTGCCCCTGAGAAAATGAGACTTACTCAACCTATTGGCTTCATCTGTTACCCGCACACCATACAGCACAAAATCATTCTGATTATCTGCTTTGGAGTTTCAGCAGTGTTTTTATGTGATTCACTGTTAATGAAATATGGCTGCTGTGTACGCTGTATGGGTTGGAGATGTAGTTTATGTTTCCTCTTGCTCATTACTCTGTCATTGCTGCTGCTGGAGCTCACAAGGCTGACTTTTCTTTTCATTTATTCTCTTGTCTTCCGTTCTCAGTTCTTTAAATTTTAGAGGTTTGGTTTGAAGTAGACCAAGAGCTGTTAGAGGTGTATCAAATTTGGCCAAAAACTAAAGAACGGGATGTAATTTAAAAGTTAGAGTCCAGTTTAAATAACGCAGTCCTTGCGAACAATTCTTTATAATCCAGTATAAAGAAACTGAGTAATTGCAAAAGCTGACTGCTGGCTTTTCACAGTGAAAGAAGGCTCTAGTTAAGGTTGGCGGCAATGACTGTGTGCCCTGTGCCTTGATATCTGAAAGGGAAATAGTCAGTTTAGGCAGCACATTTTAGAAAGTATTACACTGACTTCAAGATTCAATGGCTTCATATTTAAAACTTTTATTCTGTCTGTGCCGTTCCTAATAATCTGTCTGATATGGACTGACGTACCACTACATTTAGTCTTTCCTTTGCTAACATTTTCATGGAAAGCACCGTGGTTACATTCCTCGCACACCAATTGTTTTGTTTTTGTGTATTCTTAAGATTGACTGATTTTCGGTTTTACACTTTTATCAGTGTTTGATCTTTACAAATACAGTTTGTCACACCACAAGGCGCTGTCTTTCCTTTTTTTTTTTTTTTTTTACCTCTGGGGGAGACCAACTGAGCTACAGACAAATGGGTTAAAACACAAAGGGAGGATCGGGTTACCATCACGGCTTCATACACAGCAAACACACTGTAGCTATAGTGCATGCTGTAAAGATTGTAGTAATAAAGAATGTATGATTAATTCCAGAAAGTTGACTCTGTTCAGTTGCATAATGGTCAAAACAAGCACCGCTGTTTGAGTGGGGAGTCAAGGAGGCCGTTTCTATAAAACCATCCTGCAGGGAGCCATTCCCCGACTCTTTGTGAAGGGTTCACATGGACGCTGATCAGTGGCCATGAGAGTCTGTGTATGTGTCATGTAGTGGGACAGCTTTTAATCATTAATGCAGCTGTACTGTTTATGTGGTTGGAAGAAGTCACCTGGATGAGTGATGAAACGTTTTTTTCACACTGAACAACTTCCTGGGATTTCATTAGCTGGATTAATGCACATGCATTTAAACAATGTATGAGCAACTTCCTTTATCTCAGATGGTCTATGAAATGAATTGATGTACTCATCACTTTCTTTAATGTTATTGACATTTACATTTCTGGTCGGCCAACAGCAGCTGGGAAACAAGTTAGTTTGAACACACTGCTTTAACACTGTAAACAGAAAGTGACATATTAAAGGATGATAGGGAGGGCTGTAGTTAAGGGATACTTTCTTCATCTTTTAATAATGATTCTTTTCTTGATCTTGATTTCGGGTCTTGATTTGTCTAAAATATGATACGTCTAAAAAAATAAAACAGAAATAGTGAAATTCCAACAACACTTTCTGCAGACCATGTTGACATATTTAAATAACTTGTTTCAATGCAAACTCAATCTAAAATGCTAAACAAAATCCAGTGCTCTCTTAGAGTGCTGCATATATTCACAGGCCTACTTTTTCAACTATTTAGAACATTAAAAAAAAAAAAAAAGGCCAGATTTCCAGATGCTAAGATTTTCCCGGGGATTGAACAGAATCGACTGGATTAGAAGTGAGTACATCGCAGGGTCAGTTTAGGTCGAGGGATAAGTTAAAGAAATAATCCAGGGATGTTTGGACATTGACAAAGGATGTTGAAGATGGAGTTACCAGGTAGGAGAAAACGAGGATGACCTTGAAAAATATTTAGTGAACAAGGAGTCGCAGAGGGTTGGCGTGACGGGAGAGGATGTTGGGGATATGGTGAGATAGAAGCAGATGATCCGCTGTGGCGACCCCTAAAAGGAGCAGGAAGAAGAAGAAGAGTATGAATTTGGTGCCACTTCTATCAGGTACTAACAGGAAACTTCACACAGGCGCACCAAAAGTGCATCAGAGATTATAGAGATTATTCTTTGACTCTCAGTTTCTCTTGGATGGTCTGGTCAAAATTTGGAGTAAACAACAACATGAAAGCATGCATCCATCCTGCCTCATATCAATGGTCCAGGCTGGTGGGCTATTATTGCTGACCACGTCTGTCCTTTTATGGACAGAGTGTACTCATCTTCTCATTGCTATTTCTACAGGATAACACACCCTGTCAGAAAGCTCAGATCATCTCAGACTGGTTACCTGAACATGACAGTGAGTTCACTGTATTCAAAAGGCCCCCACTGTCAGATCAGATCTCGATCAAATAGCAGCTTTGGTGGAACAGAAGGTTCTCGTTATTGATACGCAGCTGAAAAATCTGCAGAAATTGTGTGATGCTATCATGTTAACATGGACCAAAAACTCTGAGGACTCTGAATGTCCAGCATCTTGTTTAATCTATACCGTGACGAGTTAGGGTGGTTCTGAAGGCAAAAAGGACGTCCCGCCTGGTACTAGCAGGGTCTACCTTTGATAAAATGGATGCTGACTGTACATCATCTAAACAGTAAGTCTCAAAAAGCCCGAAGTGAAATCCCAGGGGAGGAACTGTCTGACAGATGAGTCAAAGTTTGCCTCACCAGGTTTGTTACCATGATCTCTTTCAGGTTTGCACCAATGTCTTACAAGTTTGCCAAAAGCAGCCTCCAGAAGTCTCTGCTGAGCCTTGTGCCTGAGTATGTCAAACATAACAACCCAGGATTATGTGTAAGAACACTATAATCTGGAGTTTGCCAGTGCTCGGTTAATTAGTGATTCTAAATTGGTCGTGCGTAAGCATGAGCTTCTCAGTGTGTTAGCCCTGTATTGGACTGGCAGCCTTTCCAAGATGGTGTCACATGCTGTGGGCTCCAGCAACGCCCTCCCACAACCCTAACTGGATAGGTGGTCAGGAGTGTGGATGGATGGATGTCTTTATTTCTTTTTACACTGAGTTTACATAGAATGAAATGATGCATAAAATACATTTTCCATACCATTTATTTCAATTTGAGTTACAGTAAACTCACATCATTTACACTATTTTATGTCTAAAAGAGGCTTTAAACAGCTTAATAGAAACCAGACCTCCTCACAGTGGGAGTTTGAATGAAAATTTACAGTACCAGTCGGACAACAGGAACTCTAATTTGACAAACTCAGTACTGTTTAGCTCCCAGTTAGGGCCGCCATGACTGCTTTACAGCAGTTGCATCATTTTGTTTATAGTTTGGTGTAAAAACTACATTTTTTTTTTTAAAGTTACTGATCGGATTTGTGAGGGTGTGTGTGGGCTGCAGTAAATTGATCTTGGCTAAAATTTCAGTTATTTCTTTTATTCGTGCTACTTAACAACAGATTGGTGCACACATGTTGGTGATGAGCAGTGTGTGTGTGTGTGTGTGTGTGTGTGCAAGAAGACAACGAAGAAAATGTCTGCTATTTTGCATTTTGAATGTGAACATTATTAGCGAGATTTTCGGTGCGTGTGTGTGTCGATGTTTGACTGTGAGAAAAAACAGGACGTGCGTTTGAGCAAAAGGGTGTGTTTTTGTTTATATGTGTTTATGCATATGTGCATGTGTGTGTGTATGTGTTCATCTGCTCGTTTGTGTGTGTGTGGTTGTTAGGGAAGGAGTGGCAGCCAGGATGCCTGTGGAAGGGGTGTGTGTGCGTGTGTGTGCATGTGTGTGCATATGCATATGTGTGTGTGTGCAGAAAGCAAGGGAGAAAGTATGTGCCTGTGTTAGAGTGTGTGGTTGGTGTCGTGTGTGCTAGTGTTCCCATTAGATCTGTGTGCCTGTCCGTGTCCGTGTGTGTGTGTGTGTGTGAGTGTGTGTGTGTGTGTTAGTGTGTGTTGTGATGTGTGTGTGTGTGTACAGGGAGAAATAGAATGAGTCTTAAAGAGAAGTGGTCTGTGTGTGTGTGTGTGTGTGTGTGTGTGTGTGTCTGTACTTGTGCGCATGTCTGTGTGTACTTGCACATCCGTGTGCATTTGGGTGTATGTGTGTCTGAGAGAGACAGTGAGATGAAAAAAGAGAAGGGGAGAGGGCAGGAGAGAGAGAGAGAGAGGCAAGTGTGTGTGTGTGTGTGTGCGTGTGTGTGTGAGAGAGAGAGAGCAAGAGACACAGACAGGGAGACAGACAGAGAGACAGAGAGGGAGGGGAGAGACAGAATGTGTGTATGGGTGTGTGCTTGTGAATGTGTGTGCAGTAGTGTGTGTATGCCTGTGTGTGTGCAGTTGTGTATGTGTGTGTGGCTATGTGTGAGTGAGAGAAGCAGAGCAAGAGAGGGAATGTGTGTGTGTTTATGTGAGAGAGTGAGTGAGTGACTGAGTGAGTGAGTGAGCGAGTGAGTGAGTGTGGATATGTACGTGTGCGTGCATGTGTGTGTGTGTGTGTGTGTGTGTGTGAGACAGAAAAAGTGGGGGAGGGGTGTATAAGGGAGACGTGTACATGTGTGTGTTTGTGTGTAAGGAAAGAGGGAATGTGTGTGTGTGTGTGTGTGTGTGTGTGTGTGTGTGTGTGTGTGTGGGTGTGTGTGAGTCTGGTGTGATGTGTGCTCTGCATGTGTGTGTTGTGTGTCTGTGTGTGTGTGTGTGTGTGTGTGCATGTGTATGTGTGTGTGTCTGACAGAGACGGAGGGGGAGGGGTGTGTGCGGGGAGAGCTAGGAGCAAGCTCTGCAAATGGTGTTTGTGTGTCTGTGTGTGTCTGCATGTGAGTGTGTGTGTGTGTGTGTGTGTTACAGCAGCACAATATGTGCCTGTGCTGAATGAAAGGGAAATGAATGCAGTGTGTGTGCTGTGGAAGAGGGTGTGTGTCCTTTATTGGAGCTGTGTGTGTGTGTGTGTGTCTGTGTGTAGTTTATAAGGGCTGTATAACTGTGTGTTGCTGTACATGTGCACAGCTTGCACGTGGTTGTGAATGTTTGTCTTTAGTAAGGATTGTGTAGCTGTGTGTGTCAGCGTGAGTACATATGTGTGTGCTCGCATGTTTGTGTGTACGTGAACACACGCACACTTATTGGAGGTATTGGTGCGGGTGATGAAGTGTTCATGATAGTGTGCACACGCAAACAGAGCAGAATTACAATTAAACCCAACTCATTCAGCAGCTCCCAGATCTCCATACATTTCCTCTCACATCCTTCTTCTTCTTCTTATCTTATCTCAGCTCTGCATCATCTTCTAGCCTCTTGATGACTGTTAAATCCTCCCGTGTGTCTCAGGAATTATACTCTAACTGTGCGGGATCTTCATCACTGTCTGTAAATACTGGGAAGTGGCACTTTTCATTTTTTCTAGAACAAACTTTTATAGTAAGTCTGCTTTAAAAATTTTTTTTCATCAGTGTTCACCGGAGGTGCTCGTGCAGGTTAACAGGCGCAGAGGAGACGCAGCTGGCTTGTTTGTGTTAACTTCTCATATTTGTTAAATTTGTTTGTGATGTCAGCTTTGGTTCTGTACGGCAATTGTGGATAAGGGATCATGTATTATCAGCTGATTAGCCCACAGTGCCAACTCGTGGAGCAAATACAGCCTAATTTCATCTCAACTAAAGCTATTGGCTAATAACATTTTATTTTTTTGCGAAAAGACGTTTAACTACACACCCAATTCCTGACATGTCCACTCATCCATCCATCCACTCATCTTCTGCTGCTTATCCAAGTGAAAACACCTTAACTAGGAGGTGCATATGACATATCTTGGTCAAACTCAGACTACCTTAACTGCCTCCTTTTGATGTGGAGTGGGAGCCCAGCCACCCTTTGGAGGAACCTCATTTCTGTTGCTTGTATCCATGAG